CATAAACATCTCATAAACATGCATAAACATCGCATAAACATGCATAAACATCGCATAAACATGCATAAACATCGCATAAACATGCATAAACATCGCATAAACATCGCATAAACATGCATAAACATGCATAAACATGCATAAACATCGCATAAACATGCATAAACATCGCACAAACATCGCATAAACATGCATAAACATCGAATAAACATACATAAACATGCATAAACATCGCATAAACATCTCATAAACATGCATAAACATGCACAAACATCGCATAAACATCGCATAAACATGCATAAACATCGCATAAACATGCATAAACATGCATAAACATGCATAAACATGCATAAACATCGAATAAACATACATAAACATGCATAAACATCGCATAAACATCTCATAAACATGCAAACATGCATAAACATGCATAAACATCGCATAAACATCGCATAAACATCGCATAAACATCGCATAAACATGCATAAACATCGCATAAACATGCATAAACATGCATAAACATCGCATAAACATCGCATAAACATGCATAAACATTGCATAAATATCGCATAAACATGCATAAACATCGCATAAACATGCATAAACATGCATAAACATCGCATAAACATCGCATAAACATCGCATCAACATGCAATGAGATTGGAAATCAATCTGTGCCTGCATCTCAACCTGTTTTTGATGGGCAATAAAAATGACAGACAAGTATAGGATTCCATTCACCACATCTTTCCTCAACCACGGGGGCACTCTCCAACACTGTGTCGACTTGTGACACCCACTCTTCCTATACTCCTATACTTGGTGGAGTAATCAGGCACACCTTATCGACTTACTACTGTAGTGGCCCTAGAGGTGGCCACACTGGCCTTTCACACGTGCTGTGGTTAGCACGTGTAATTTATTTGTGTCGGGATCAATTTCCGCTCCTACCGTGAAGGTAAGACGGTGATGCAGTAGCAAGAAAACCCCCAGAGTGAAATGAACACAAGTCCTTAGATAGTCTATATCTAATAGTCATATGCAACTGATGGTTTTATTCATCGTATACAAATAACATGAATAACGTTCACTGCACGTATCTCAAATATAGCGTATTGATATAGATATATATTTACTCATGTCACGTTTACGTTACTTCGTTAGGTGATTACACGTTTAACTTCTCTTAGCTATTATACGGGTTAATATTGTAGCCCCCGGCGCCGCTCCTCGTCTGTCTCTCCCCGTCGTATGCTCCGCGGCTCAAGGCGAGTTCGTGGGTTGGCAGTGTGTCTCCTTGTCCGGGGTAGGCTATAGCTCCGCACCCCTCCCTTAGTATAGGATATACCTTCTCGGGCGTCGTCCTGCTCGTGGGTGGCTCTCCCTCCGACGATGTGTGGGCGCTCTCTCTCGAGCGCGTTCGTTCGTTCGTTCGTTCGTTCGTGCGCTTTCTCAAGCGCGTTCGTTCGTTCGTTCGCTTTCTCAAGCGCATTCGTTCGTTCGTTCACTTTCTCAAGCGCGTTCGTTCATTCGTTCGTTTGTTCACTTTCTCAAGCACGTTCGTTCGTTCGCTTTCTCAAGCGCGTTCGTTCGTTCGTGGCCGTCCAAAGACCGACTGACTTTACTGTTGGATCTTGGCTGCTTATATAGGACCCTGCGGTGACGTAGGATCCGGGCAGTGCCTCCCTTTTACGTGCCTCAGGTGCCTGGGTGTTGTCACCCCCATCGCTTGACACGTGTATGGGTGATGCAACCCCCTAGGTCCAGTATATGCACAAGCATCGCACCTCCCCTGTCCGCCACGTGCTCAGCCAGCGCTGCTCTCTCGCCCGGCACGTGTACATGGTGGCGCAACTCCCTTACCTCCAACATCTGGTAGCTGTGGAACCCCCTCCCCCGCGCTTGTCTGTGTCGTTGGGGAAAACTTTCTACCTGTCGCTAGGGGAACTTTCTATCCCTGTTGCTGTTGAACTGGTCTCTGGTTGTATGCTGTCATCCCCATTGAAATCTCCACAACTCTCCCCAACTTCTCTTAGTGTCCGCCCTCGGATACGCTTTACCTTCCCTCGTCGTGTGATAGTCGTTCTTCTTCTCTGCTTTTTTTTCTTTTGTTACCATTATTTGTCACTGTTTCAGTCGTGCTCTCTTCAGCCCTTTACCGTGTCGTCGTCGTGCACATGTACTACAGTATTGACACTGGTGTTCTATGTCTTTCCTGTACTCAGGCCAGTAGAATCTCTGCTGAATACTAGCCCTGCTTCTTTTTTCGCTTTGATTCCATTCAATGATAATGCAATTGTTGAAATACTTTTTTCCTCAATTATACAGGTATTATCAGCTGACGGATTGGCTGGATTGGTGTCACCGGTGTCTCCCACCGCCAATACAATCGTCCTTCGTGTGCTTCCAGTTGGTGCTATTGCCCTCAGTATGCTTTTGCTTCCGCTCCCATTCCTACGATCTCAGAAAACTCAGGCCTATCTGACGCCATTTCTATTCGTTTCTTGAAGAAGACTATGACAGGATCCCTGTCCTGTAATCTCTTAACGTTCTCGGGGTGCCATATACCATGGTCCTCCCCCTCATCATCAGGGTTTTCTGTGTGATCCTCTCGCCCCTGATTCCCATCGATCATGACTAAAACGCGGCCATGTTTCTCTTCATCCCCCCATGAAGAATCATCAGTCCTCCCATTACGGCTAGGTGGTTCATCTCTTCTCTTTACATCATCTTCCTCGTCTTCTTCTGCCGGCACGGCCGTCTCTTCCTTGCCTGTTCGTATCTCTGTCGCCAATGGTACGATCCTCTTTGCAATTCCATGTCTGCTATCTGGGCAATTCTCTCTAGGGCATTTGCCTACCCTCATACGGGATAATGCATCAGCATTCCGGTGATGCCGTCTTTTCCTGTGCTCAATTACGAAGTCGTATGTATCTAGCAGAGCAATCCAGCATGCTACCATTCCTTCTGGTTGTTTAAAATTTATCAGCCAGGTCAATGATGCGTGATCCGTCCTTATCCTGAAGGGTCGTCCCCATAGATAATGGTGGTACTGCTTTACAAATACCACTATCGCTAACAGTTCCTTTTTTGTGGAACAGTATCGTCTCTGTGACTGGTTTAGCGTTCGACTGGCGTATGCAACCACTTTTTCTTTGCCGTCTTGCATCTGAGACAAAACAGCTCCCAAGCCTGTATTGCTCGCATCCGTATCCAGTATAAACTTGTCCTCCGTCGTCGGATATGCTAATATTGGTGGTGATGTTAGCAACTGCTTGAGTTCGCTGAACGCTCGTTCCTCCTTCTCTCCCCATTTGAAAGTAACTTCTTTCTTCGTTAGTGCCGAGAGTGATGCCGAGCTGCAATGGTGGAGAATCCACGAATAAATCTCCTGTAGTAGGAAGCAAGTCCCAGAAAGCTCCTCATTTCACCAACTGACTGCGGCGCCTGCCAGTTGGTTACTGCTTCGATCTTTGCTGGGTCGAATCTCAGTCCTTCTGCTGATACCACATGCCCTAGGAAATTGACACTTGTCTGGAACAAGTGACATTTTGCTGGCTTCAGTTTCAGGTTTGCTGCCCTCAATTGGTCGAAAACCTTTTTCAGGTTTTCGAGTGTTTCCTCAAACGTTTAAAAAAAACAGATGATATCGTCAAGGTAAACTAAGCATATTCTGCCTAGCAACCCACGCAGGACTGATTCCATGAGTCGCTCAAAGGTCGCAGGCGCATTGCATAATCCGAAGGGCATCACACGGATTCTCCATAAAGCGTCCTTTGTGGAGAATCCCGTGATATCCTTGGATTCTTTATCCATTTCTACTTGCCAGTAGCCAGCTGCTAGGTCTAGTGTTGCGAACCAGTAGGCTCCGCCTAGGGCACCCAGCAGGTCGTCTATCCGGGGTAGCGGGAATGTATCATTCCGTATTACCTGATTGACTTTTCTGTAGTCAACACAGAATCTAACTCCTCCGTCCTTTTTAGTCACTAACACAACTGGTGAAGCCCATGGTCCATTGCCAGGTTCAAAGACTTTTTTCTTTAGCATCTCCTCAATTTCCTTATCCATGTCTGCCTGTCTATGGAAAGGAACTCGGTGTGGTGGTTGCTTGATCGGTCGAGCATGTTCAGTATCGATCTTATGCTTAACAATACTCGTCCTTCCTAAGCCATCTCCTGGTCCAGCAATTATATCTCGGTAGTTATGCAGCGTTTTAGTGACTCGGCTTCGTTCCTCTGGTTTCAGCCTCGCATCTGCTCTGTCCAGTAGATTCCTTAGGTGATCTTCAAGCTGTCTGGGTGCCATTCCATTCAGAGCGTTTACCTTCTCCTGTCCTTGCATTGTCGCTTCTCCCTCGATGGGCTTCAGTTGTCCCACTTGTTAATCTTCCACCAGCAGGACAGGCCTTTTTCCTGAGTGGCTGATGACGAGTGGTACTTTCATGACTTCTCTGGGGAGAACAGTCTCTTTCAACTAAATTCCCTGAGACTCCAGCTTCTTAAATTCTATGCTAGGTACCAGCCTTACGTTCTTTGCTGTGGATAAATTCGCATACGCGTATGTCCATCCAGGAACGCTAGAGTCGATCCCTGGCAGAATTTTAGTCGTTTCTTCCACGTAGACCGGTCGACCACCCTCTCCACCTATCCAGCATCCTTGGATGTCTTGCCCATTTAATGACAGCATCCCTGAAGCCATGTTGAAGATCACATTGTTTGAGACAAGGAAATCAATCCCTAATATCCCATCCAATTGTGCAACCATCAATTTTTTCCTGTAGATTCGTTCAGCGATTTCGAGGTGGACTTCAGTTTCTCCAGTGATTACCAGCAGATCTCCATTTGCCAGTTTTAGGCCACTCTTTCCAACACTCAATTGTTGTTTTGTATGTGCCTTAATTTCATCAAATCGATCGGCATTTAACAGCGTAGCACTTGATCCACTATCCACGAGGAATCTCATTTCGTGTTCCTGCACCTTTACTGGCACCCTCCATGTAGGATGCAACTGTATGGATGCTGTTGAGAGTGTTGGTATCCAGCCCTGTTCTGCTGGGATTGACTTCTTGCTTTTCTTTTCTTTAGGCTGCATCTCGTTGTTCGCCGTCAGTTTCCATATCTCCAGATCGTTTATTTATTTGATCGAAATTGAAGTAAGTCGTGTTTTACCTCTCTCCGCCTTGTGATGGACCAGGTCACCGACCCTATGCCTGGTCCTTCCTAGTTTAATGATTGTTGATCTCGCATTCTTGTGGCATTTGGTAGTGTGGATTTCTTTATATCGTTGTCATGCAGTCTCTGCGGACAGGCGCTCTGTATATGTCCGTTCCTTCTGCAGTAATAACACTCAATGTTTCTCATTGGCGCCATGTCCTGCTGTGACCTTGCCATTCCTCTCATAGGTAGGTATGGTGTGCCTTGACCTGACCCTTGACCCCTTCTCCAACCCCTGCTTTCACGCGGCCTCCCCTGACTCTCGGTTTCACCCCTCATCTTACCCATTTCTTGCTTTAGATGCCGTACCTCATCTCGCAGTTGGTTAAGCAGGCTTGATGTTTGATCTGTTGGCTGTACCACAGCTCGTACATGATGACTCCTGTCTGGTGGCGGCTTCCTGCTATGTACTGTTTCTCTGATTACTGCTTTGAACTGGGCTATGCTGGTGATAGCCTCATCCATTATTTTCGACGGTTGAAGGAGTACATAGCGCTGAATCTCCGAATCTCCCAGACCTTCCAGGTACTTATTGGTCAGAATCTCCTCAAATTGATGACCGATCATTCCCGGGTATGCGCGATTAAACAGCTGTTGCACGACGATTCCGTATTCTTCAAGAGTTTCTTCCCAAAGATAATATTATATATAATGATATATATAAATGTTCATGCTATTATGCATGGGTTCATTCTAGTAGTTAGGCATGGAACACTGTCAATCAGGTCAAATATAGCTGCCGTATGCCATCTATTAGCAAAAACAACTTGTAAGTGCACAACGTCAGCAATTTGTGCAATTGTTACTGTCACATTGGTCTGGTATTTCGTTTGTAGTCAATTTTTTAAATCTTTATAACGCAACACCATCTGCCACAATACAAATTATTAAAATTTTCTTACAACAAAAATCACTACACAATCATTTAGGACCATGCAATCAATGGCCATACATTAGTAGATTACATATATACATTATATAGTACTATGGTAAACATATATGGTAATTATACTCTACAAAATATAAGATCAGGAGTCAATGAAAACACTTGGTTTTTATTCACACCTGATCTGATCAATATATGGGCTGCTATCACCAAAAAGTTGCACCTGGTTTGCATTGTCCCCTGGGAGGTCTCGAGTGAAGTAGTATTTACTTCTGAAGCTCGATTTCCTTCTTTGTGACATGCGATCACTGCATCTTCTTTTATCTGCCGATACAGGTTTCTTTATTTGGTCGGTGGTAACTCCAGAATCCGCTGTAGTCTGAAATTAAATGTAAATGATATTACATATTAGTCTAATATCAGTCTCCTTCTATACCCGCACCTCTCTCACACACGCACACACGCACTCACTCACTCAATCACGCACACACGAACGCATGCACGCACGCACGGACGAACGCATGCACACACGCACACGCACACTTTTTCTCTCTCTTTCCCGCCCTCTTTCTTTCCCTCTCCCTCTATCTCTCACTACCATCACTACCTCATACCCACACGAAAGGGGTTATATCTCATTACCAGCGTAGCTTCCTTTGACTCCGAGTGGGTAGACTGATCTGTGGTACTGTTACCATTGGAGCCATCAACAGTCTCATTGATAACGCCACCTTGGTCATCATTATTGATAGACACTAGATGTTGTGAAGCTAGAAAAAAATATACAGATTTTTTAACGAATTTATAAACAGAAGCGACATTGCAGCTATATCAACACCTATATAACATTAATGTAAAGACAACACTACTTAATTATTGACAATCGTAATAAAATATGTAAATTTTCTGGCATACTCTTAATTTAAATAGATTTTATCATCTGAATAATCTGAATACGCATCTGAAAATAGTCGTTTATACTTATAAAATGTATGATCTTATCTTAAAAATCATAAATGAAATTGCTAACCTGAAACATTCTGGCTGGATATGCATTCAGAAGTGATGACATATCTAGACTCGCGAATAAAGGGTAGCTCACTAGACTGTGTGGTTTCCTTAATAGAAGAGACTCCAACCTACAGACATGTAGTGGATGCTGTGGTAGTTTTTAGATAGAACAAGTTAAGAGCGAAGTCAATAATACACTTCGCATCATTTTAAAACGCTTGCAGCGGTTGATCAAGAGCATGCCAAGAGAGAGAGAGAGAGAGAGAGCAAGCATGAAAATGATCAAAGG